AGTTCTTCCTTAATATACAAACCAGACAGAATATCTGCTGGATTTTTAAATGCAGTAACAGCAGTGAAAACATAGGTGCAAAACATTCAGCTAGAACCAGCTAAAAGGCTCTGTCAACTTTCTCCATCACACGGGACTCCTCACCCAGCCTGCAAACCAGACTTACCAAAACTGCACAAATTGGTTAAATGAACTCAGATATTTCAATGAGAGTTGGGGATGTTGGTTCCAGCAGGATATAAAAGGTAGCTGCAACTGTTCAGAGGGGAGAGAGCTCAAGGGTGAGGTTTTGTAGGAGCCGTTTCCAAATAAAAGAGTGCATGGACACAAATGAAGTTGAGGTTTCTCTTTGATAGCTATTTATGTGAAATTTCCCCAAAAGCCCAAACCAGCAGCAGAAGTACTTGGCTTCACACAGCACTTGGGGATTTCTTTTAGGTGAGGGTAGCAATGTCCTTTGCTGACACCAGCTCATGGCTAGATCAGACAGCAGACGCTCCGCATCCCACCCACCCTTAGCAGTGTTGTGGGACTCTTGTTCCTATTACTTGAGCAAACTCTTCTATAATTCTACCATGCTTTTTCTTTTTAGTGGCCAGTAACTTCCCCGTTTGTTCTCCTGATAAATACCAGAACTTCAGCTAAAAATGGAGAAGTTGTCTAGATTCTCTTATCTTGTAAACCCCTGGCAATGGTGCGCTGTGGTCGAGTTCTGGCAGATCCCCACAACGGTCAGAGGCACCCGCCTGCAGCTCCTTGCTTCTCTGCCCTTCTGACAGCACTTAGTGCCCCTTGCACAGAGACAGCAGGAACCCACACTGCTTTGCTAGCTTTTTGTAGCTGGTACATTATTTTACCCCTCTATTTGTCTTCCCAAACCAGACACTCCGAGAAGTGTGGTAAGAAGTGCAAGGCTCAATTTTCTAACGCAGGTCCATTTTGGATTCTTGTTCTAGAGATGCTGATAAAGAATTTTGACTTTCAATAACGCTTGAACAAACCAGTCACTCAAGTAAAGTGGGAAACTTGCCTGTTTTTGAGCAAGTGGTCTTCCCTCATCAATTTGTATAGTACTGAAGATTAAAAATAGCTCTTCAGCTGGGGTACAGCTGTGCAGCATCGACTTAAATGGAGCGGCACTGACTCACAACAACAAAGCATCTGTATATAGACCTTTACTACTGCAAACCACGTAACAACACTAACAGTAAGCGCTGGCGTGGCATTCACAGGAGCTGGGGGACAGGCTGGCTGACTCCTGCCGCTGCTCCTCACAGGTGTCATAAACTACAGGACAGGGTTGCAAGGACAGGTTGAAATTAACTGCCTGTTAAAAATCCCCCTCCTTGACCTAATCAACACATGAATAATGTGACTTCTCAATGGCACTGATTTCATTAGACATCCTCTATGCCTTCTTTCATGTCTTTTTTACCCCTGATAGTGACTTTTTGCACTGGCTGTAGCAATTTATTTGTTTTCTAGGCCATGAAACTATTCTCTCCCCTCTCCAATAAACAGAAAACAAATATTACCGGTCAGTGAGCAGATATATTTCCATATGAAAACCATCAGCATAAACACTTTTTCCCTTTGTCACTCTGAATGCCTAATCTAAACCCCTGGTTGGATGTTTAGCACTAATATAAGGCATTGCAACCCCCATCAAACCTGAAGCAGACTCTGCCATGACATCTGACTTCTTACAGAAGCTGGTACTCATGATCCACTAATCTCAATGCCAACAATCTCCAGTGGGGCCAGGCTTTCCTCCTGTGGGGCTGAGCATCAGTGCTGAAACTTAGCACTGTTGGTCTACAGAATGACGGACTTCACCTCCACCACCACCAGTTCCTAGTTTTTGGTAGCAGCTTCTTCCTCTCTCACCGTGGCCCCATCCCCAGCTCCCCAGAGCTTCAGGGGTTCCCCAGCTCCCCGCAGACCCACACAGCCCCAGACAGTGAGGAGAGCTGGAACCAAGTGGGGAAATGAGAGCAGAGCAGCTTTCAGGTCACACTTAGGGGACAAAGAGCTGCAATACACACCAAAGGCTCTCCCGGGAGACTCCTTGCACAACTGCCTCTTTAGATAGGCTGACGTGGTGGATTCATGGTTCAGGTATCAGGCAGGGGGATAAGCATTGTACATGCTATTAAAGCACTGTCAGAGCATTTCACTGCTGAAGTGAAGCTCCCTGTGCTTTCTAATGAATTCTCTGTGCTCAGCATTAAGCTGTCTGTTTTTACAGAAAGTTGCACTTGGGTAATTAATCTCGTGTTCGTTTCCTGCACATGCAAGAGAGCAGCCTTTGTTAGGGAATGATAAGACACTTCTAAGAATAGTGCTACTAAGAGCATCAGCTTTGTGAGACATTGCAGGAAAAATATAGGCTCTTAACACCTGCTTTTTTGCTTCTCAAAGTTTTGAAAATAGCATTTTGCTTACCTAGAGCCAAATTCTGACTTGGTTACACATAGAAAACCTAATTGCTTCATCAGAAACAAGCGTCAGTGAAGTGATACTTTAGTCTCTGGGCTCCAATCTTGTAAAGATGTATTTGTTTAATTTTACAAACACTGTAAATATTCTCAGTGGCTTCAGTGGGACCATCTGCAGCTCCCAGTCTCACAACCTGAATTCATCACTTTGGTCTCTTAACTACACATTCCAAATTAATTGGATTTTCTTAGTGACTGTGATGGATTGAGGATTAAGAATTTATCTGTGTGTAAAACAAGAGACCCTCGGGCCAGACCGTACAAAGGCCGGATGCTGAACTCAGGAAAACGTAAACTGGGAGACAACCCTGTGAGAGCAGCCGAGTCGCTCCAGTGCGAGAGGGGTCCCAGCCAGCAGCAGAGCAAGCCCCCATGTGAAGCTCCCTGGCAGCCTCAGCTCAGCCCATGGGGTTTGCCAGCTGAACACAAAGGGAGGTGTAAAGCTTGGGGATTTATGCACGTTGTCAGTTCAGAACCAGAGCCAACACCATTCTCCTGTAAGCGGTTGACACTTGACACCTACTGAAGTCAGTTTAAACAGTCATTGTTTTAAAGCTTGTGTTGTTTTTAAGCAGTCACTGTGATTCAGCCCGAGCTATCTACCACCCGAGTGCAAAAGGCACAAGCTACCACGCCGGTGAAACTATGCAAAAACTGGGGGGAAACAGTTTACAGTGGGAAAGAGGCATTTTCCATTTAGATTGTAGCATTCACTGTGTAACCAGTCATAGCAGAAAGGACATTAATCTTTGCTGTACTTGCAGCAGATTTCTTTCTGCTCTATTACGGACAAAGCAGTAGTTTATCCTCCTAACCAGAAAGCAAAGCCTAATCTGCAGAGAACTGGCTAATCTAGTGGCTGATGTTTGAAGAATAACACAGACCCAATTTCCCCGGGTTTTGTAGTGCAAAATGTGAGCAGAGCAGACTGCTACTAGCCTTGTGAGCTGATCAGAGCCCCTGTTGTGACTATTATCTTGACTGTATAATGGGGGCTTTCAAATCCCAGCTTTATCACATTCTGTTTTCTCTACTTTGCCCTTTTATGAATATTGAGTCATCAAAAATAGCTTCACTGACAGAGCTACTAATGATACCAGCTGGGTGAATCAGTGGCTTTTACATTGTCTAGTGCCAGTTATACAGTGCTATTAGTACGCTCATTACAAAATACAACAAAAATTAGATATCCACATTTTATTTGCAGCTCCCTTGAGACATGTCGTAGTGGTTATTTTAGAATTGGAAAATGCTAACCGAACAGAGGAAATATTCAGCCATTTCAAAGCAATACTGCAAGCTAAAAGAAGAAACTCTGGCTTAGAATAAGTTGAAAGTAAATTCGAACATCAGTAAATTTTCCTTCCTCCTAGTTTTTAGTGTAAAGAGAAAGCACACTCCAAATGATATCAGCCACATTCTTCATGAGACAGTTATTCCTCATATTACAAGAAAAAGCTAACATCAGCAGTCCAGGAAAAATGCTGATAAACAGAAGTGAACACGACAAATGATGTAAGTGATGCATATGGCTCGGGAGTGCAGTGGGCACGTATGGAGGCACCGTTCCAGCACAGTGCAGTGCCAGGGGGTAAGTTAGGTTAGAAGTACATGACTCAAACGAGTACTATTCAAAAGTGTAACAACAGTAACAACATGCCTGGTGAAGAACCATCACAAATGAGTATGCAAAATGGCCCGCCATAGGCTTACATTTATAATGCTGTCCCAAGCCATTTTTTCCAAGGGTCATTTATTTCTACCCAGAGAGGCTTCCTCGCAGTGATACAGTTCCCTATGTTGGCAACACACCCTTTTCTCTTTTTTTTCTTCATAAAACCAGGCAGATAGAGAACGAAACAAGGGGCCCCCTTTACACACACTGCAGTTGCAGCTTCCATGCACGCAGAGCTCGTTGCTTCTCACCAGCCCCCTTCACCTTCCAGCTATCGGGAACTTTACAGCACGGCATCTCCTAGCACCCCTTATCTCAGACACAAAGTCAAGCTTTCTGCTAGCAACTGCATCTGGCACGTTAAATGGGTAAATAAAACTACTGCAGACGCTGCCTTTAGCAAGTGTCATGGAAATGACAGAGCATCTTAACAAAGAGAGACTCAGAATTTGAAGTATTAGGCTGTTTTTATAAGGAGGCTCTTGCCCTTCCCTGGAAAAGTGACATTTGAAATTCTGTTACAGCAATTCTGTTAGTTACGGCAACACTAACTGAAACCGAAATGCGGTTTTTAACCTAAGACACGTTGCATAACAATTGAAGTATTATAATCTTATACGAGCCGGGAAAGGTTAATTCCAAAGATAAAATAACATGGGTGAAAACTAAAAAGCTCCATAAGCGCATGGACTTGCGAGTCTTTTTGTTTTGGTCCGGGGCAAAGCCGAAGCGGGAGAGACATTTCAGAGGAGCAGCAAGACACCGAGCACATGCCCAAATCCGTTTAGCGAGAAAAAAAAACACATCGGCAGAGCCTTTGCACTTACGTATCTCTTGAGTTTCTTCTCGGGGGGTGATTTAATGAGCCATCCGGTGCAAACGACGTCCCCCGAGCTCATCTTCCCCCCCGGCGCGGAGCGGCGACGCGGGAGCCAGGGTGCGGGCTGTGTGTGCGGGTGTGTGCGGGGCTGTGTGCGCGCGTGTATTGTTCCCAGCCAATTTGCAAGCAGCAGTAATCAGCTTCCTTCAGCTGTGCTCTGATACTGCTCCAGCCCGAGGAGGAAGTCATGACATTGATCACTGACACGGCCAGCCCTCCCTCCGCCTCAAACACAATGCAACACACCGAGCACGTGATGGGCGCCCGGGGACCGCCGCCGCGCAGCCGGCGGCTGCGACACCCACCGGCACCGGCACCGGCACCCCCGGCCCCGCCGCGCCGCCCCAGGAGCTGAGCTCAGCCCCGCGCCCCGGGATGCTGAGGCCCCTGCCCGCTGGAGCGGGGCTCGCTCGCCCCGCAGGGAGCGGTGCTGCTGCGGCCCCGGGAGCCCCGTTTGGGCGCGGTGCCCCCGGCGGGGTTAGCGGAGGCGGCAGGAGAAGAGCCGTGGCCCGGTTCTTGAGGCCCAGCCGGTGTCGATGCCGGTGCCGGTGTCGGTTCCGGTCCACACACCTGCCGACCCCATCAGCACTGAGATGTCTGCCTCAGCTCCCACCGTCTGCCTGCTCCACTACTCCCGAACTTCTGCAGCTTGTGGGTTTAGAGGTTTTTCAGTGGCATTTGGTCCCCTCTATCAATTTACTACAATTAAATGCAGATTCCCCCGCTGTTCAGCTCTGGATCCCCAAAACAGGAGGGTTGTGGAGCTGGTGGAGCAAGTCTGCAGGAGGCCACAGAGATGCTCCAATGGCTGGAGCGTCTGCTCTGGAGCTAGGCTGAGAGACCTGGGCTTGTTTAGCCTGGAGAAAAGAAGGCTCTGACAAGACCTTAAAGCAGCTTCCAGTGCCTAAAGGGGCCAACAAGAGAACTGGAAAGGGGCTTTTTATAAGGTCATGTAGTGACAGGACAGGGAGGATTGGCTTTAAACTGGCGGAGGGAAGATTTAAAGTAGATATAAAGAAGAAGTTTTTCCCTGTGAGGGTGCAGAGGAGCTGGCACAGGGTGCCCAGAGAAGCTGTGGCTGCCCCATCCCTGTCAGAGTTCAAGGCCTGGTTGAACGGGGCTTTAAGGGGCCTGGTCTAGTAGGAAGTGTCTCTGCCTGTGGCAGGGGGGTTGGAAATAGGTTGAGTTTTAAGGTCCCTTCCAAACCATTCTGTGATTTTATGAATAAACTTAAGTTTCCTGTCACAAACAGACCTTTTTGGAAGTGCCTGCAGGGAGACAGGTTGCCATCCCACTGTCACAACTGAAAGCCAGTGCATAACATTGCTGATATCCCTGGAGCTAGCGCCTCTCTCCAGCATAGGAAACTCCTGGCTTTTCAAGGACGGAGCAGCTTGTGTTCATTTTGAAGCAGCTGCTTATATATCATTGACTTAGATTGAAAGTGGATGCAGTGATTCTTCACTGAGTTTTACAGTTGATTTGTGAGAAGTCTCATATGCCTCTGCCGAGGCTCAGTACTCGCGGTGCAGACCTGCTCTGCCAGCGGTGCTCAGCAGCATCACACCTGGGTGAGAGTTTTGATGTTTTCCTGGCATTTTGCACATGTGTGGGTCTTTGGCAGGGCAGGCTGGGCACAGCTCCCAGTGTCACTGCTGGATCTGACCAACCGGAACCCATGCTTGTGTTCTTCGTGATTTTAAACAAAAATGTTGTGGCAATATGTATTTATTGTACTTAAGATGATATGTACTATAAATGGCACATAAATATATGCCCTATGTACATTTACATAACAATACAAATAGATCTGTATATACTCATAGCATCCCTTTTGCTAGTGCTTTGCTTTACTTCTGGTCATAAAGGAATCTTGCCATAAATGAAAACTGTCATGAATAGACTATAAACAACATATTTAAAATGTGCTCTGACTTCTCCAGATAGGTTTTTGTTTGAGAGTGACTTTCATGCAGCCTTGCATTATTACTTAATTCCCAACCTTACGTTCTACTACCACCTTCACTCAGCTCCATTTATCCCTTATCCATAGGGATGATTTAACAACTTCACATGTTTAATAGCACGCCTGTGAACAAGGCTTTGCAACACTTCTCCTCAGAGAGAAGCATCCAGCCATGGAACTTATTTAGGGAAGGAAAGTCACACTTTCCTTCCCCATGTGACTTGTGTCACTCTGACGGATACAATAGCCTTACATCTGAAGGCTTTAAAACATTAGTCTGCCAAAATTAAAATGAATTGTGATAAACTTCATGTAACCCACTTTTTACTGGATCTTTCTTCAGACAGCTGGGTCTGAATGGAATGTCGGATTCCATATGCAGCTGCGTAACTGCTTGCAACAGGGCAGCAGAGGAGGTATGGATGGGGCAGGACAGGGTGGTGAGGAGCCCGGAGTGCCGAACGGATCTGAACCAAACCACAGCCTTGAGGAGAGCTCCAGGTTTGTCCTTGCTTGCGCTTGGTGATAATGCTGCTTAAATCACCAAAAGTCCTCAGCTCTTAAGCCACTTGTCCCTGCCCTTCTGCCACCTGCTTCATTACACAGGCATAGTGTGCTTGTGTGGCTACATGTCAACTGAGTCACCAAACTGGCTGTGTGGAAAAGAATGAGTCAAAAAAGAGAAAAAAACGATGATTTTCCATCTGGATCAGGACTAGTTTCCTGGTCTGATAAATGCTGTGGCCTGCGACACACTCACACCTGACCAACGGATGGGGGATGCAGGGGCAGTTATAAGAAATCAGCAGTTGCTTAAATTGGCACTTCTGCCCCAAACCCGCCTGCTGAGTGGTAGCCATGGCGACAGGGAGGGGTACAGCGGCTCTGTTCCCTGCTGGTTGTGTCCCTGCTCTGTGAGCCGCCCCTGTCCTCACTGCAGAAGGGCTCAGCTGCCTGCGAAGCACCTGCCGAAACACTTGCACGTTGCAGCTCAGCACATTCAGAATAAATACAATCCGTGCCAGTTTGCTGATGGTGCCAGTAGCCTGAGGGGAAATGCAGGAAGCCAGAACTTGTAATTAAGCAGAGCACGTGGGGGTTAACGCGTTTGTTATGAAAGCTGCTGTGGCTTCGTGGTGTTTGTGCTCTGAACACGAAGAGAGCAAATGAAGTTATTTTCTTACCCTGATGATTTTCATTGTGTTCATAATGTGTCAGTCACGTGTTTGAAAACTGCAGGCTTAAAAATGAGCAGTATCTAGCCCTGATGGAGGAAGGGGGATTTCACTTCTGTCCTGCTCCATGCACACGTTTTTTTCAACCACTTTTAAATGATAAGAGTCTTTACTTAAGTCCTTCATCATGTTGAGGAAAGACAGGGTCTTTGTTTTAAAAACCTTACAGTTGAAGACATGTAGAAAATGAGCTGGAAACAGAGTGGGAAGAGGAGCAAAGAAAAATGTATTTTGCCTGAACATTTCTGTAAAACCCAAGGGCTGTTCTATTTTAGTTCCAGCTTTTGCATGTATCCATTAGCATTTAGCTTCGGACTTCAAGTACGTTGAATATGCTGGAATCACTGTGAAAACCCAACTTAAAAGGTATAGAAATAGTTCCCTAATACTTCTGCAATGCCAAGGTTTGAAAGTGCAGAGTTACAATGTTTGCTGAGGTTTGCTTGTCTCACTTTTTAAGCTTTTTTTTTACGATAGGTATCACACGGTTACCTTGAAAGAGATCAGGTTTTGCTTGGTAACAATAACTTCATCCAGTGGCACCTGCCTCCCCAAATCTGCTGCAGGCAGAGCTACGGGAACGTTCTCAAAAGTGACTGAAGCCTCCATGGATATGACCTGTCGATGTGATTACAGAGAAAGTGAAATGAAATAAAATGTAAACCACAAAATTGAAATCCCAGAAGGTAAAATCGTTCTCTGTTCTACACTAATTGTAGAGGTCACTCATGTTATGGTATGGCTCAAGTAAATTGCAGGAATCTGTCTTTATTTGGATCATGGCACAGTCTTTGTCCTTCTGGTGCCCACTGAAGCTGCTCTCAGCTCATGGGTAGAGATAAGGGCAGGGAGACCACTTGGCAGTTACTGTCACAGGTAAAAGAGACTTGACCTGGTGGAAAATAAATTTACCACCAATAAAATTAGAGCAGGGTAATGAGAAATAAAACCTTCTTATATGTGCCACAAGCAAAGATCAGAATAAGTGTGATCAGTTTGATCCTGAATGTGTGTGCAATCCACATCAGCCAGATACCTGAGAGGAATTCTCTGCTCGTCGTGAAGTACTGGTCTACTCCTCTTCTTGCCCAACTCAGGCTATCAAAGTTTCACAGGAGAGCAACGCCTGACCCTAATAAACCAGAATAGAACAGACTGGCTAATTGCGTTTGAGGGGAAATTCCTTCCTGACCCTACAGGCAGCTGATTTAAAGAAGTCAGTGTGCTGTTTAAGCTTGCCCACTTCCATGCTGCAGAGCAACTGGTGCTGTTATTAATATTGAAAGCAGTGAATGTCCTTGCTCACTGTGGACAGATGAATAGTTGGGGTGGAGAGGATGGGAAGAACCAGGAGGATTTATTTTCCTCACGGATGTATAGGTATCAAAGCAGGAAGAGACACCTGAGCTAGCTACAATGACATTCCCACAAGCATTTATTTTTCCTAGGATATAGCTCCATATTTAATTGACAAAACCCTGTAGTGGCTCTGAAGGTGGAGGTGTATGCAAGAGGCAGCCACAACACTGGGAGAACAGCCCTTTTCTCTCATCTAGTGACTGATCCCTGTTTACACATGGAGCTCGCACCACACTTACTCAGCAAAATGCTAACATGCCTCTGCAGCATTCCCACAGCAAGCAGAAAAGCCCAGTCCCACAGAAAGACATGACACAGTATATATGTTCCAGCTGTTCCTGACAGTTACCACCCAGCTCCCCCCTGCAGACAAATATTTCACTCTCTTTCCATTCACAAGGACAAATTCAGCAAAGTCACAGGGGATAATTGAGCCCCTTCTCTTCCTTTCAGTAGCCTGTCCTCACCATACAAATCAGGTCTAACAGAGGAACACGCACAGATCATGAGCCACATGGTTTGTTGTTGCTGTTGAAACAATTAACTACATAAACAAGCCTGACCACTGGCATAGAATGATGCCGACCCTGTCTGCACTCATTGCTTCACTAACAAAGATATCCTGCTGGAGCTGGCTGCAGACTTGGTCACCCACAGGCTCTCACTGGCAGTGGGACCCAAGGGTCAGGTACCTGCTTTGGATGCAGGAGCCACTGTGAAAATAGAAAAGGAAAACAGAGACAGTTGAACGTTGCTGTGGTTTTGCTCC